AAACTTGCATACCGCAAATGAGGCTGAGCTCTCCTTCAGCCTGGAGATATAGCGGCCAACCTGCCTCTTGGGCGGTGACTTCCAGGCCGCGTGGCCTCCTCCCTTTTGGAGGGAAACATCATTGCAGGCTCTGATATCGTCCGCACAGGCCCTAGACTCGGGCTACTTGGACTGGTACCCGCCTAGACCTAGCCTACCGCTACGGGGCCTCTTAAAATACTAACTTTTTGAAGTTTTTGTATTCTTCTGCTCGGCCTACCGCTACCCAAGTGCTACCGGTGCCGACACTACGGTACTTGAGTGTGCCCTAAGGTACCTTTTCGGCTGCTTGAGTGTTTCTCCCCGCTGCAACCCTCGAAGTCGTGGCAGCAGGTAAGTGCTGGCTCCGCGGGCCTCCCAAACAAACAAGTGCCCTGGCAGGCCACACACACACGCAGACCGACAAGCACTCAGACAGGCACATGAACCAGCAAGCACGTACACACACAGACTTAGAAAACTCAGCATCTCAGCAAGGCATACATTCCAGTGGCAAAACACAGAAATCAGCAGTGTTCTCAGTCTGTGTTTTGGCAGGTCATTACAATGACCGTCAATTTAATCCAATCAGTACTGTAGGAAGGCCAGCAGGCCTGCCTGATCACTGTGGAACTGGCCCTGGAGGGCCCAGTGCCCCTTGACGATCAGACAGGGTGACCAGGCAAGAGAGATCACTCATGGTCCTCTTTATGCCCGAGCACTGCTGATGGTCATGGGGTCTGAATCTTCCTGCTGAGATTGCTGATCTGAGGTAGTGGCGATGACTCTTAAACCACCAGTACCTTCACTGTAGCCCTCCCAAACCTTTTTAGGTGTGTAAACTCTGGTCTGGTTTTAATGACATTCTCATCATTGTGGACTGCCTCACCAAGTACGACAGTTTTCTACCTTGCCAGTATCATGCCAAAGCCCTATGGTTGGTGGAAGTCTTCCACGCAGGTTGGATATGTGTTAAGGGTTTCGCTAAGGACATTGTCTGCAACCGTGATACCCAGTTTATGCCCGATTTTTTGGATGCACTTTTAAGATGCATAGGGACGTCCCTCAAGTCGACTTCAGCCCGTGACCTGCAAACCAATGGTCAAATGGAGAGAGCGCATCGAACCGCATAGGTTATTTCACACAGTCATCCAGTCGGAGCAAAGGGACTGCGTCAAGTGACGTTCAGACATTTAGTTGGCCTACTACACCTCTACTCACCCGGCCATCAGCATGTCCCCTTTCCAGCTCGAGGACTGCCAGCTTGCCGATTTCACTATGGATTCCCTCATCCCATGCACAACTGAGAGTGACACACCCGACAAGAGATACTTCTCAAGGCCTGGGACAAGATGCAGAAGACGCAGCAGCGGATGAGACAGCAGGCCAACAGGCAGTAATTGTCGTTCTCCTTCCAGGAAGGTGATCTAGTACGGGCGTCAGCTGCGGAATTCAGCCTTGAGCAGGATATCTCACGGCCCGTCATTTGTGATCGATGTACCACCCCACCTGCAAGTGCATCTGGTTTTCCACGCAGCCAAGCTCGCCCCTTTTCTTCCAGCAGAGCAGGACGACTTCCCTGGACGGCGCTAGCATGTACCTTGTTCCATGCATGGCTCTCAGGAGGTTCCTCACATTGTCATGAACCGTCAGTATGGGAACAAGCCCATGCAGTTCTTGGCACACGTCTCCTACATCAGCGAGCAGGTCGATCGTTGGCTGACCAATGTAGAACTTCGGACTACGGTGCCAGAGTCCTCACCGAGCACGAAAAGAAGCAACTGGCTCGCAAAGCATCGCAGGCTCTGCCCACCCGGCCTACTCGAGTCTGAGTACCCCCTTCAGATCGATAGCTTTGCCATTGCCGTAGCCCGACTTCTTAAACCACAAGTACTTTTCCCAGCCATTTTTCTACGACGTGGCAGTGCTCACACCACATCTGGCTGGATGTACTGACCTCCTGATTCGCAAGGAATATCTCCAGGTGAACTGGGCCATGCACGCTACAGGTTTTGCCTAGATGTTCTTGTTGCGAGCCGGTAGGCCGGTACATCCCGCCAGGTGCGCTGAAAGCACTGCCGCGTCATAGGAATATAGCTGGGAAAGCTATCGGTGGTTTAAGGGGATGGGGTATAGCATGCACAGGCTTGCTACACCCCTTCCGTCCTTAAACCACGATTACTTTTCCGAACTATTGATCTATGACACGGCAATGCTCACGCCGTGTCACGGGCTTAACCTTGATTGAAGAGCCCCCTGGCTGCACGGCCCTCAATTTGGGCAGCCTGAGGGCCTTGGTACGAGGTTCCTGGTGTCAGCTCTGACAGTGCCACGGCCCAGTAAGCCTCGGTGGTTGGCCTCTCGTATGATCAATATTGTTTCAGACTTTTCTTTTTGTCTGCCTGTTGGGACCAGTAGGGTATTGGCTCCCCGCGTTTTGGCCCATGTTTTGTCGGAATAGGCTTGTCTCCTGCTGTCTTGCTCATCTACTGCGAAGCTTTCACCGGATGAAGTCCACGCTCAACGAGTACCCCTTCAGGGGCCTTGTTGATGCAGTGCCAACCTTGGAGATGAAGACGCAAGTCCAACATAGCCAAAGGTGTCTTTTTGTCAATTCCCACCTCTTTCCTCTTTTGTCAACCTCTACAGCTCCATAGCTTGGCTAAAGGTCCATTGTTACATCTTCGACGCCACACGGGTCCTACCGGATCCGACATAGGGGTAGAGGGACACAGTAGGGCCAAAGGCCCGACCTTGGGGGTACTACAGGCCGTAAAGGCCTTACCTTGGACCAGACCCGACGGGCCGGCCCAAACGATTTTACCGTTTGGGCCTGGCGGCGCTATTGAGGCTGCCGCCCGCCGGTTGGGGCTGAACCGTCCATCTGGACGGTTCAGGGCACGGTCAGGCCTCGCAGCATAGAGGCCGACCTCTGCCCACCGGTACAAAAGTACCGGTCCAGCCTCAGTGAGGCTATCGACCTACCAGCATTCTACCGGTACGGTATGGTACAGCGCACATTAGCGCTGGCGCTATTCTTAGCGCAGGAGCGAGGAGCAGGCAGCAGTAGCGCAGCAGCGGCGAGCGGAGCAGCAGCAGGGCGACTGAGCCAGGTCGGCGGCCATCGCCGCCTGAGGTATCAGGGAGCCGGAGGTTCTCTCCTCCCTCCCATCGTCAGTCCCCTCTCTCTCTCTCTCCTCCTCGACTCTCATCTTCTTCTTCTCCTTCTCCTTCTTCTCTTCAGACTCCTTCTTCTTCTTCTTCTTCTTCTTCTTCTTCTTCTTCTTCTTCTTCTTCTTCTTCTTTTTCTTCTTCTTCTGCTTCTTCAGATTGGAGACCTATACTAGTGGACAGAGATCAGTGTTGGACTTCGGTGGTAATGAGACTGTGGTACTTACCGGATAGGAGACTCGGAGATTGTTGGGGTTGATACTTGGCGGCATCACAGTTCGGACACCGGTTACATTTGGACTCTGTATCTCCGACATTGGTGACTGATTGTCCTCGACATTTTGATCTTGTTGGATGACATTTTGGACTACCATATCGGTGACCTATCGGATTCTATCTCGGTGACCTACCGGTGCTGTCTACCTCCCCCACCTCCTTCGTCTCTCCTCCCACTTTTCGTCTGTGTATGGGTGTACGGGATCTGGGCATCGTCCATGCTTGGCCCAGACCCCACCATCTCACGATTGTATGTGTGTGGAGTGATTCTTGAGTCGGTCTATGTGAGTCAGTCCGTTTATCAGACTTCCGCTGCATATATGCTCATCCTATATTGGTTGATCTTTGGTTCTGCCCATACTCATTGAAGTATGTAACAGTTTTGGTATCGGAGCAGACCATTTCACGGATCTGCTCACCAGGTAAGTCTGATTAGGAAGTAGATTGTTGTTTCGATCATCCGAATCAGCTCTGAATTACTATCGAGTTCAAAGTTGCAATTTTTTTTTTCTTTTTCGGTATTCTATTTATTTCGGCATTGCCGTTTCAATTCGGTATTCGGACTTATAATTCGGATTTCTGTTTTCTCCCGGTATGCTGTTATTTGGGGTTCCGATTGAGTAATACTAATCCGATAATTTGTCAAGTTTTGGATTTCTGATTTTAAACGTATTAGGGTTGAACCAGTATCCTGTTTGAAATTCGGCATTCTGATTTCCATTCAGTTTTCCGTATTGCGGCATTCTGTTGTAAATCCTATAATTCGTTCTCTTTTTGTATTTCCGTTGTCTTTCAGTATTGGAAATTAGGGTTACGAAAATCTTTTGGGTTTTAGATCAACTTGGGGAATTCGAACGTTTTTTGGGACCGTAAATCCGGAAATTCCGCCGAAACGCGGAAAATTAGGGTTGGGACCGAAATTTTCGCGAATTTTTTTTTTTCGTTCCCCTTGTTTGAGAAATTCCGAAAACAGGTTTAGGCCTTTAAAAATCGGATTTCGACGGTGGAAATTCCTGAAAATTCACGTTTTTGGAAATTCGAGTGTTTTTCTCCTGATGTTGTCCGAATTTCTTTTGGCAAGCTCATCAGACTCTGACCCTCAGTATTGCAACTCCCGGACCAGAATTGATCTCAAGGATACCTAATCTTGATACACTTCAAATTCGTATTGATTATCTTTATGGCAAACATTGTTTTATTGATTATCATTAAGAAGTATTATTTCGTTATTTGTCATTAATTAAGCTTTATTGATTAAATAATTCGTTAATTTTATTTCTTATTACGAATTCTTGAATTGTTTACGGGATATTTATTTTTCTGCTTTGATTAGGTGTCTACAGTCCATCGGTGGGACAGGGCACTGCATGTGTATTGTTTGATTGTTCTACCCCTGTGCCCACTCTCTCTCGACCCTCCCCGTAATCTGTGACCACCGGGACTTCTCAACTACCACATCAGTTCAGACTGATGTCGATGGAACAGGACACCGGGGCACTGCCACGACGCAGTGCCAGGCTTGCAGTTCGTAGMCGCTCGGTGTTACCTCCACGAAACAAGGCTCAGCAACAACGMCTCAGCAAGCGGAAGACTTCAACRGCATYRAGTACAGCAATGACAGTACCAGTGACCACCGCGATTCTTCCCGCATGCCCGGTCCAAGGGGCCGGTGAGCCGTTGGCAGCTTACCTTCAGCGGGTACAGGCATTCACAGATGCCGTGGCTACCGCAAAGGCACAAGAGGAGGCAGCAGAAACTGAACGTCAGCGGCTGGCGAATGAGGCAACAGCCCAAGCTCAGCAGACTGCTGAGGCTGACGCAGCGGCACGAGACCGACGGAATGCCGCCAGCACGGAGTCCTTGATCGCTTGTGAGCATCAATGGACAACGATACTCCAAGGCGTGTTCTTTGTGCCTACGGAAACGCAGGCGGAGCCGACACAGGCGGAGGCAGAGAGAAGTAACCTGGCTACCGTGATGTTGAACGTAATGAGGGGAGTAATGTGGAACAACAAACTACTGCAGGCACACCTGCACGCGCAACGACAGCAAAGACAACAGTACCAGCAAGACCTGGCCGCTGTAACGGCTGCCGTCCGCGACGCAGCAACGCAGCAGCAGCAACAGCAACAGCTGTTAAACTCTACCATCACACGCATCAACGGCATTGAGGCCAACGCCTCAGCAGCGCCAGGCTGCACGACAGACGAGACGAAGCAGCTCAATGGGCGCATCGATCATGTCGTCAAACTCATCGGCGATACAGGTGTTTTCAATGAGCCAGACACGATCAGTAGCACGGTGGCCGCCATCAAGACGGACATCACCAAGCTGCAGACGAAACCGGACGCCGCTACGAAGACTTACAAAATGCCGCACTTCGACATCAGCAAGTTCGACGACTACAACAAGTCGGACGCCTTGACATGGTGGCAACGTTTCCTCACGGAAGCATCATGCCGCACTGTCCCGGCGGACGACATGATGAAGGCGCTCTATTTGTAACTGATTGGAGGAGCGCAGGCATGGATGAACCATCTGGCGGCTACCAACAAATGCACCATCGCCGAACTCCACACGCACATTACGTGGAAGGAGTTCGAGAAGCTATGGCTCACCCGGTTCATGGTTCGCAACATCGTGAAGGCAGCCATGAACGAGGTGTACGCCTGCTCTCAAGGTAGTATGCCAACTCGAGACTGGACAACTAAGTGGCAGAAGATAGTGACCACGCCAGGCTTCGATTTGTGTTTTACCAATCAATGATCTGAGTTCTTCTCGCGATCGTGCGCAGGACTGCGATCGGCACTCGGCAACGAGTACGATTACGATTCATTCCAGGCCATTCTGGATCGTGCAAACTTGGTCATCCAAACGGATGACAAGGCCGCAAACGAACGGCAGTCCCAGCCGCATTATGTGGCTAAGCATGGCTATCAACGTCCGACACATAACAATGCCGTGATTTCTGAAGAAACAGACGAACTCCACGCTGCAGCAGCATCCTCGAGTGATGGAGGAATTGTAGCAGCGCTCCCGCCGAAGCGTCCCAAGAGAGTTCGGAAGAACAAGGCGACATAAGAGACAACATCAACGGGAACTGGGCAGCAGCCATGGACGGCTTACAAGATAACCAAGGATGTCTATGACCTTCGTCAAAAGTATGGATACTGCCTTTGGTGCAACGGCGTCACTCATGTGACCGCACAATGCCCCGAAAAGGGCAAGGCACGCGTACCCCGTCCAGCAAACTCGGGAAACTGAGTTACGCAAGGAGAGGGGCGACGTCTCTCCTCACTCCGCCGGAACCGGTTGCCTTGCTAGCAATCGATGTCATTACTGGGGAGCATGCGTTAGTCGCTGATTCTCGTGCTACGTACGAGGATTATGCCGCCCAGCTGGTACCACCACTAGACCAGCCAAGCCACGTGCACTTAGATTGCGTATGCGCACAGCCTGTACACCGTCGGCAAGTGATCCGGTCAGTTCGCCACTGATTTCCGAGGACTCGACGGCGTGGTCAAGACTTGAGGAGCTTGACCCGCTCACGAGAGAGGACTTCGCTTGGATGCCTCTACCCTCGACCGGAACCTTGCCAAGGCCGCATTGCAACGCCTTGATGGCAACTCTACGCTCCTATTTGCACGCTACAGTACCAGCTCCATTGACGGACGACGGAGTAGCGGTTGTCGATCTCCGCTCCTATCTTGCGAAGATTGACCGCGAGTACGCCACCCAAAGGTACGCCGAAACCGACGCGCCTTTGCTCTATATCCGCATTCAGATCGGAAAGGCAACCTGCAGTGCCTTGATTGATTGCGGAGCGTCTCGCAACTTTATGAGCCAAGCCTTTATGGCCTGCGCAGGTCTTGGCCCGTGGGTTCGAAGGAAGACGCAACTACCCAAGTTACACTCGCGGACGGCCGCAMGCAAAAGTCAATTGACCGATGCGTCGATGGCGTTCCGGTATACTTTGCGCCACTTGCGTGCGAGCCGGTGTCTTTTGACATCCTCGACACCAAGTTCGACATGATTCTAGGCATGTCTTGGTTGCGTAGCGCCGATCATCCGGTGAACTTCCATGACCGAACCGTTCACATCCGTGATCGGAACGGAGTGTTAGTCCCATGTACGGTCGCGACCCCTCACACTTCGATTGCTTGTCACGTGGTTTCCGTTGCGAGAATTCGCGACGCCATTGCTCGGAATGACGTCGAGGAGATGGGCCTTGTATTCTTGCATGCCCTCCCCTCGCCGGACGGACCAGCC